AAATTTAGATGTTTAGGAAATCATAAAGAAGGGACTGTCAATTATCGAGACAGTTTGATAAGTCCGGTATTAGCTTACATTTAGTAATTTGTTTGTTAGTGCATAATTCTGCATCAAACATCACTTTATATACTGGCTAATCACATGTATATGACAAATACTGAGTGCGTACCGTGGCCGTCTCAGTCATTGTGGTGGGTATATCTAAAGGAAGCAGTGAAGAACATTACTGGAAGAGTGACCTGATATCTGAATGATTGCATGCATGTCAGATTGTTAAAGCAGCCATGTTACACATTCCATATGTAAAAAGGGCTTTCTAGTTTAAAGCAGAAATTCTGCGTTCCAAACTGAAATCACAGAATGTAAAATTGTGTAGCTTCAAACAATAGCCTGATTTGTATTATGGCAAATGTAGGATCCATCATTCATACCTTTGACCCTTACTAGAATAAAAGACAGGAACACTAAATTGCTTGACCACCCCTTTAAAGATTCACACATCACTATATCTACACGTTACTATCATGCAGACTGTCATCATTGGTGTGTAACTGCCAACGTCTCCTGTCTTTCAGTGACGATGACTTTGACATGTCCAGATACTCCTCATCAGGATACTCCTCAGCCGAGGTGAGATGTCTGAGGGACCAGGTATCTATACACATACTATATTGTTTCACAGCATCATTTGGTGAAACCACAAGCATCGCCACGTGATCACCCAGTTCCTTTGTCTCACCAGTCACGCCAGGTGTATGTGCACCCATTGAAAAAAAAAAAAAGTATCCCGACTCGTCCAAGCTTTCATAGTCACAGTCACCTTCAAATACTTCTTTTCACCCACAAAGATTTGTTCCTCTTCATTTCTTCCTTGTGGAGTCGAATATGTTTCATTTGTTTTTGCCTCTTGCCTCAACCCATTACCATCAATGACCTGCGTGTTCTCCACTCTGTTGCTGCTTTGTGTGGATTTTATTATTATTATTTATCTGGACCACAATGTTTTTTTTTTGTTTTTTTGTTTTTTTTTGTGTTTTAATAACTTCTGTAACAAATACTTTTTTTTTTTTAAATAATCAGTTTTACTAAAAGGGTCACTTCTAGTCTTAGGATTGGCAAAAGTATTTTTAAGTTCTTCTGATATGTTATTTCTTTGGCTTCTACAGCAGATCAACCAGGACCTGAACATCCAGCTCCTGAAGGACGGGTACCGGCTCGATGAGATTCCCGATGATGAGGATCTGGATCTGATCCCCCCTAAAGCAGTCAATCCCACCTGCATGTGCTGCCAGGCTGCTCCCTCCACAGCCTGTCAAATCCAGTAGCACCCTCCCCTCCGACCCCCCCGACCCCCTAAAATCTCCTGCCCGCCACCTGCACTGAGGCCAACTACTGACCAGAGTGGCAGCAAAGGAAGAAAAACAATTGGCTGGCAAAGGCACAAAGGGAAAATCAAGGGTTTATAAAATGCTAAAAAAAAAAGAAAAAAAAAAAGAACCTGAGAAATTGAATATGTACAGTACCTGTGCATGTTCCTCCTATGGTAGGATCTGTGCATCTTACTTCTGCGTTGTTGGTTCAGCAGGGACTCGACTGATGGCAGAAACATTACCTCTAAGGAAAACATGTTACTTTTGCTTCTCCTTCGTTTTGACTTCCATGTCATGCTCATGGATTTCCTGGTTTAAGAGGGCCAAGGAGGATTGTGCGTTGTTGTGGAAGAAGCGAAACAACAAATTCAAATGGTAGGAACTCGACCAAAATGCGTGAGACATTGACAAGGTGTCATTTGCTGTGTCAGTGGTCCATCCGAGGAGTCGGCTTCTTCTACTGGTGTATAATTGATGGTCGTATACGGTGGACAAACAGGGATTGGAATCTCTGTAGTGCCCATTTTTGTTTTTTTTCTTTTCTCATTTCTTTCAGCCAGTCTGCTTTGTCTTCCTGTGTAAATACGTGTCAAACATGAAAATGACGTGTGTGTCTGATTATGCCCAGGAGAAATAGTGCTAAACCCTCAAGCTGCTGATAAAACATGAAAGCTTACACACTAAGGTAGTGATCCAGATTTTATTTTTTTTTTGTATCTGTTACACCGAGGTCGTAATGCTTCATTGTTTTCTATTCAGTTAAAAAGAAGCTGAAAAATGCATGTTGCCTGTTAACACTGTGTCCTGATGACCAGCCTGTGCGGATAATTTATCACTTTTTACCGACCCCCGACCACATCCTTTGTGCCGAGGAGAAGATACGTGCTTTCAAGTTAGTCATATTTAGGTTCACCTACTGTAACACCGGTAGATCTAGAGAAACCATTCTAATAATGCCAGAAATGAGCTCATGAATTAGTGTGTACTTTTGTGTGTGTTTGTTCATGTTCGCCCCCCACAGGAGTGTGGTTGAGATGCTTCGCAAAGGTAGCTACCACCAGTGAAGGTTGCAATATAGTTCATACACTTGAGGGAGTTATTAGATGGATGCAAGAATTAGAATTTTCTGAGTTGTGCAATTTGATCATACCTGCTTTTAAGGAATGTCTATGGAGTGATTCCATATTTCTTTCTTTCTATTTTATTTTTTTGATAAGATTGTTCTCCACGTTTTCCTTTCTTTAAACATTTTTTTGTTAAAATTCCTTTTTGTAAGGTTAGAAATGTGTGCATTTCCCTCCCGAAGTACACTATAACTTATTTGTCGGATGTGCGACAAGAACTGTACATGTAGCATCACACTCAGCTGTGGATTGTCAATGCTTTATGCCATTCAATGTTCTCCATGGAGTTCTATAGGAAGTTGCCCTTGTTGTTCAGAAGTACTGAATGTACACTGTCTGTTTTATCATATGTTCTTTGTTTACATCTCTCTGAAGACGCTTGCAGAACTCAGCAGGGATCAGCTATTTTTTCTCCCAAGTAGATCAAGCTGAGTTTCTCCAAAAACACTGTAATGACGAGAGAGAAGTGCAAAACTTCCTGATTGTGACACCTACATAAAAACATTTCTCTTGAAAATAACTGATAAGCTTCTGTTCAGCTTACGGGAGAAATAGCTGGCTACTCTCAGTGTTCTGTTGACTGATGTTGAAGGGATTTGAAATACGGTGCACATCTACTAAGAACAGTCTCATTGTGAGTGTCTTTTTAGATATGTGACTGTGTTTTTTGGGGGAACGTTGCATTAATCTGTCATAACTGTTAATCTGCGCATTTCAACAGGTTTACATTTTTATAATGAAAATCTCAGTGTAATAGAAACGGCAACAAAGACTGATTAGAGATGCAGTGTGCACTCAGTCTTAGTTGTTCCTTTTCTTTCTTTTCCTTTTGGTTTGCAGTAATGCCAGATCTGCAAGCATTTATGTATGGGATGTCAAAAGAGGAATATTTGCTTTGGTCAAATAGATGAATGAATGGTACTGTGTGTATCGCATAAAAACAACTAATGTCTACGTGGATAGAGAAAAGGATCGTTTTAATCTTGTTTCAACCTTTTTTTTTGATTAGTTTTACTGGTTAAACCACCCAGACATCTCTGTGACCCAGTAAGAAAATATCTCCCTTCTCTTATCACCGATATCCCCGATACAGCCTTTTGTTTCTGCAACATTTGATTTACAAAAGTGCACACACGTTAAAAGATCATTTACGATAAGAAGGTGCCATGTTTGTAGATAATAAAAAAGTAGAAAACTGTCACCAGTGCAGCTACTAGTTGGACCGGTAGCTGTGTTTAGTTAACAGAAACACGGAGGGACTGACTGCGTGGTCGACTGCGGTGCTGCATTTTTCCACCGTTAACATCATCCCAATGGATTTGCACACAAGTCATCACGGTTGTCTTATACTGAGTGCAATACTTGTGGCTAATGTATAAATTGAGGCATAGCTTCACTAACTTCTTGAGTTTATAGTAATTCGTTGTAACAGAAGCTATTTATTTGCAGTTGTGTGTTTTTTCCATTTTATTTTCATGTATGGGAAATACTTCATATACAGACAGACGCTTTTTATTTGTCAGATGCTTGTTATGACGATTGTGAACTGGTTCCATTTAGATTTTAACAGTGTTAAAGTTCTGTGTATAGTGCAACATATCAAAAAAAAATAAATATTAGGTATCTCAAGTCTGCTCGTTCCATGTGCTTCTGTAATTTGCAGTTGTGCTTTTTTTTTTCCCCTTCTTGTTTAGTGTTATACCCGCCATTACTTTTTTTTTTTTTTTCCAGCCCAGCACTTGTTCAGACTCAAACTGTTTTCTCTGCAGGAGATGAAACAAATAGCTTCTGGATGAAACAGTTTGTCTGCCTCCCACACGGTCTCTCTGCTGGTGATGGCTGATTACCTACTGATGTGAATGACATTATGGCCTAAACAGACAGGTTGGGGAGATGGATGGAGAAATAGAGGAGTAGTAAGTGTAAGGGGTGGGGGGTTGGGCATTTTGTGATTAGCCTTGAGTTGATCCCTCGGGAGCAGATGGTGAATGATGGCTTACGTAGACGCCTTGGATCCCAGGAGGTAACAGTAGTGCGTGTCCACGTTGGAGTAACACTGAAGTTGAGGAAGACGTAGAGGGAATTCTCATGAGACAGGAGCGCAGGGAGACAGGTGAGGAACATTTCTGTGTCCGAAATGATGCAATGAATGCATCGTTGCGTTCATAATTATGGATTAAAATAACCTTGTGAACAGTAGGCGCCTCCATCTGGAAGTCCAGGCTGGTTGAGACTATAGTACTCTCAAGAATAAAACAAGATGAATGCTTCGTCTTCAGCCACCAGTTCTCAATGAACTATTCACAAATATGTGCAAAACTAAGATCTCTGTAAAAAGCTGTTTCATTTTGCACAGTGTTTTGCCTGTTTGTTGTCAGCTTGTCTGTTCTGCCACCAACTCTGTGGTCTGTAATGAAAACACACTGGATGGGTGTTCTGGGCTTGTGTGAAGCCTAACTTTAACCTCCCTTCATGCAGAGAGATCCCAGCCGAACGTGACATCATGTTGCTGAGCGTTGCTGCTGCCGTGCTGCTGCTCTGCGTGCAGTGTCTGCACGGCTCTGCTCTTCCTGCCGTCTCCTCTTATGAGTTCACCGCCTATAGGATGCAACAGTACGACTTGGCACAACAGAAGCATGGTAAGTTCACACGCAGCTCCTTCTAATCAGCCGTACCGTGACACATTTTGACGTACATGTACTTTGATTCAGAAAAAAAAATCATTTTGTACTTTTGAGGTGTCAATATAAGACATGTAAAAAGTTCTTTCTAGTACACAGTATGCACATTGCTTTTGTATTTAAAGCTTCTACTTAAAATTGTTTTTTTCATTTTCAGATTTGATCTTAAATGTGCAGAATGATGACTGTTCAGACTTTGACACTATGTTTTTAAATTATTCCGTGAAATGAAGTTTCTCACCTTAAATTTGAGTTTAAGAGATCTACTCCTGACAGTGAGAAGTACAAAATCTATCTAGTGGATAGACTTTTGATTTTGCAAATGTTTGTGTGTTCATAGATCCAATATTTTTCAATGAGGCAGAAGGAGTCGATGCAGTTTTTGAACTGGATTACTGTAGAAAATCCATAAGAAACATATATTATGACTTTAAGCAGAGTATATTTTCGCCTGTTTATCTTGAGAAAACATACACAATATTCTAAACTAAAAATGGGTCTATCAGCATGAACTACTTCAAATTAGGGTCATATTTTTGTTTTGCTATTTACAAATAGAGCAGTAATTGAAATTTACATGGAGTTTACTTTTTTTTTTTTTTACATTACATTTTTTTGTGTGTGAGCTAAATATAATACTTGATCGAGAGAACTTGACTGAGTTTGTGTTCACTTAGAGACTGCAGTCAAACTAGAGTTAATACGTGTTTGTACAACACTTGAGTTGATGCCTCTGTTTGATTTGTCTTGCTCTGTGTCTTCTGCCGAGGTTGCCGTGGAGCCATTGTTGTGGCGGAGGCACGCTCGGCAGACGAGCCGTCGCTGACCCGCCGCTGTGTTATCATGAAGGTGTCAGACTTCACAACTGAAAGATACTTTGAGGCCCAGAGACAAAATGCTGCTGCTGTACTGATCCTTCTGCCCAAAAACACCTCCAGCATCCCTCATGACACAATACAGGTAACAAGCTGAGAACACTTTTTGCCAGACACTGTTCAGGATGTAATTTACGACTGTCACAATATCTCCAAGGTATTAGGTAACAGCCTGCTGAAGTGTTGTTATAGAACATTATACAATAGCTATGGAAATGAGCAGAAAAATAGTGTCTGCATGTCTGCACCTGGTTGTTCTTTTACAGTTTTTTTTTTATCCCTTTCAGTCTTTTATGGTGAGCGAGAGCGAGACCTTGCAGAAGGAAACTCTGATGCCGGTGTATGTCGCACCAGAGGATGAACAGCTGCTTTACATGTACGAAGAGGTCAAGCAGGCTGCAGCTACACGGACCTCATCCATATTTGTCAGAGGTAACAGATGCCACAGGATATATGCATGTACAGTGGGGAGGATGGATGAGCTGTTTAAACTTACATATATAGCAAGAAACTGATAAAACAAAAAAAAAGTGAACTCTGAATGGATAAATGTCCCAAATGGAAACAAAAAGGAAAGACACTGTATCAGACAGAAAAACTAAAATGAAAACAATTATTTTTATTGTTGGCAGTCCTTCGAAGTATGGTCACAGCTACGGCCTTTCAGATCTTAGTGAGCAACAACGCCCCCATTAAGGCCATCACTGACAATGCTATAGTCACACTGGAGGTGAGTGTGGAGCTCCATACTTTGCTTTTGCTGCATATATGACAAAAGTGAGTGACAAAAAAAAGAAATATTGGATAATTTTTTCTCATTTTCCTTGTGATTGGTCCCCATTATGTGGCTGGCGATGTGTATTTCAGGGAGTGCTTCCTGGAACAGGAGAAGACATACCCACCATCGTCATCACCGCCCACTACGACTCCTATGGGCTGGCCCCGGTGAGTTAGATGCTAAAACACCTCATTTAGAAGTACAGCTAACAATTTTCTAAGCTCTAACCTGTTAAATTGCTTGACCCTTTACTTCTTAAGATGTCAACATGACAGTATTGTCGTGTGCTCATGTATGGATGTGTTTGTTTGCCACACAGTGGTTGTCATATGGAGCAGACTCCAATGGCAGTGGAGTCATCATCCTGTTGGAGCTGGCACGTCTTTTCCAGAAACTTTATAGCAGCCACAGCACCAGACCTCAGTGAGTTGATTTTAACATAACAGAACATGTGTGCTTTGGTCAATATGTGTTTCTACAGTTACACCTGCAAGTGCAAGTAGTGTAAGCTTGTGCTTCTATTTACATTTTTAGAAGGGATTGACTGATTATTGGCGGATTTTTGTCTTTTTTATGATTATCTGTATTTTTTTCAATTATTTTTTTATACAGTTTTTTTTTTAGTCTTTTGTGCCTTTATTGTAGAGGTCAGTAGAGCGAGACAGAAAAGGTGAGGGGATGAGTGGGACAAGACATGCAGCGAGTGAGTCGTGGTCATGGCTGCTGGTTCAGGGACTTTCAGCCCATATGGGTTGCCCCCTCAACCTGTTGTCGCATCAGACCTGAAGTAGCCACCTCTCTCTGGCTGTAGTCTCTCTGGTCTCAGAAATGTCTCCCAAGCAGAGACTGCAAAAAACTGAACAAGAAACACAAGAGATCGCCACAGAGTCTAATTAATAATGCTTTTAGACATGGACCTTAGCAATAAAAAGTGATTGAACAGTGAAATACAAAGAAAATAGAGAAGAAAGCAAATATAGCTGCAGGAGACACATTGATCAGTCTCAGTCTATCTCACATAAACAGAGGGGAGCCTCCTGATTTAATCACTTCCATTTCTAATTTTACATATTCAGTTATAGTTATCCTTATTGATGAAGAAGACTACTTATGAGTGGCAGGTTTCTTTGATCAAATGCTGTTAAAACATTACATTTAATGTGAATTGGTTCCAAATATCAGTTATCAACTGCTCCTGATTAGCAATAATTGCCATCGGTATCATCCCTGAAAAGCCTATATCGGTCGATTCTTTTGTTCAGGGTGATACTGATCAGAAAATAACATCGAAAACCTGGAAAACCTACTGTGACTGGACATTACATGTTGCTTGATAAACAGACTTTTTGTCTATCTCTTGGTGAAAACATTTAAGTAACAGCTCAGCAATGAATAAAAAAGATTGTTTTTTTGGTGTTTTTAGATATCATTTAATGTTCTCTTTGACTGGAGGAGGAAAATACAACTTCCTGGGCACAAAGAGATGGATTGAAGAGAATCTAGATCATGCCGGTGAGTTTGTGGCTTTGTAACCCACTCAACATGTGGAACGTGTTAACACGGCTGTAAACATAAATTGTCCAGTTTTATTTTAGCTCAACATTTTCTCTCCAGAGTCCAGCCTGCTCCATGACAATGTGGCGTTTGTTCTGTGTTTGGACACTCTGGCCTACGGGGATGAACTGTACATGCATGTGTCTCGCCCTCCTAAGCCCGACACTCCCATGCACGCCTTCATTCAGCAGCTGGAGGAGGTAACCAGCTTTGCTGTTTCTGTTTATGCATTATGCACAAGTCTTGTCAGTCTTAAGGGCCTCACACACTTTTTTTGTTTGTCCTGCAGGTGGTTTCCTCCAGATTTCCCTGGGTGAAGGTGGGATTGGTTCATAAGAAGATCAATCTTGTGGAGTCGACAGTAGCCTGGGAACACGAGCGCTACAGCCTGCGTAGGATCCTCGGCTTCACTCTGTCTCATCTGGAAGATCCCAAATCTGAGCTGCGTGGCTCTATACTGGACACTATGTCAGTTCTAAACTCTGGTTGGGATTATTACGATTGAGTAGCTTGGAAATGTATTTGCTCAGGACATGAAAGTATAATTTACTTATTTGTATATCACGTCATAGGTCACAAGTGGATTTCAGAAAGCTTAAGCGTAATGGCATCATCATAGCAGAAGCACTGGCGCGGTTTATGTACAATCTCTCTGATAAGGTGATTGAATGCACAAAAACACAATATACTGTATATACATAAAGACAGAAACTGTATTCATCATCTGATCTGTTTTTATTACATATTAATTACTCTGTGTTGTTTTCCCTCAAGGGTTCACCAAAGGATGTGCAGGTTTTCAAAGGCCAGCTGGTACGTTCTTGGTTATTTTGGTCAAAGCCAAGTGCTGACCTCTGGTGTTGTTTTGCAGACATTACAGAGTGTTCATCACCAGTGCCTCAGGTCTGCATGTTTATCATGGCTTGTTCACTGGATTCATTTAAAAATCTGGGCATTTGAAAAATACTTCTTATTTCAGTATAAATGGTTGGATTTATTTATTTACTTTAATAAATTAACTATTCTTAAATGAAAAACATGAAACCCAAACAGAATCTTTAATGACCAAGAATTGAGACTTCTTGACATACAGTAGATTTTTAAGTTTTTATTGTGATTATTTAAAGGGTTGTTCTCAAGTCTATATGTCCTCAATGCAGGACTTCCAGGACAGCCGCATTTCCAGTTTGCTGTCCTTCTTGACATCAGTCCCTCGGGCCGCCCAGCTGCTGGATAAAGAACCCGGTCACATCCTGCTGGTCAATTCACTGGAGCACGAATTCAAACGTTACCTGCAGCAAGTTTACAGACATACCTTCCGACAGGACAAGAGGTGTCACATATAGTGGTAGTTCAAGTAGAAAACACATACTATGAAAACTGTCTTCTTTATGCTGTCAGCTGTATTAAAGGCAGAAATGCAACAATTAATAATATTTCTTCTCACAGGGACCCTGACATCACTTTTTTTGATCAAATGAACCAACCAATAGTGATGTACAGGTACGTATGTGTGCTCTGATATGTTTTGTGCATGTGTTAAATTCAATATTTGGACACTGACACAGCTTTTGTTTCAGAGTGAAGCCTGCTGCCTTTGACCTGTTCCTGGGTGGCTGCATCGCTGCTTATTTGGGGATTGTTTACTATGCAATCCAGGTTTGTTAATGTGCTCTTTTCTATTGTCCGTTCCTTCTACATTTGTACTCCTATCCATATTTATGTATTTTGAAAGCACTGATAGATAGGTAGTAAAAACTTGATATTTCTCTTTTACAGAATTTTGGTTTTCTCTACACAAAACTGAAAGCGGCAGTGAAATCCAAGCACCAGTAAATACCCCAAGACTGCGAATACCGAGTTTCTGACAAGGACTTTGATGTCTGCTCTGTACAAGTTGGACGTTTGCTTCACTGGCTGTGTGAAGAACTTGAAACAATGTGACATGAATCTTCTCAGAATTATCATATGCACAACCTTAAATATGCATTTTCTTTGAAATGCGTATTATTTTAAAGATGTTTGTACCTTTCATTATACATAAAGTTTTTGAACTGTGCAAAATGATTTGACATGAATAGACGTAGAAATTGTTTGTACACAAAATAAACAAAGAAAGCTTTTGGTATTGTATCAAACCTGGGAACACGAAGCACTGCTTGGATCTGATTTGAACGTTCATGAAGGACGTTCCTGCCACATCATTGCTATGATTCGCCATGTCCTCTGCTCTGCATCTGTTGACATGGATTTGACTGGGCTTAACATAGCTGTCAAACGAGGCCCAACCACTGCAGTGGATGAACAGCCAGTTCCTGTCACAGATAACTCAGTGAGAGCACTGGAGACACAAAGGCACCCTACGGCGCTTGGTGAATTATTAATGCTTAGGTGGCGTGCTGACAGTGAATAGAGGTGACGGCGGATGGTGGTGGTGGGAGATTCTTAGAAGTTCTATTCCTCTGCTGGTTTGTTCCAGTTCTGCAGATCTGATAAAACTCGGTCGGTTTTAACTACAAGGCAGCTAAACAACCGGGAGCTGAGCCTCTGTGTTTGAGATCAGTGCTGGCTTGTTTGTGAAGGCCCCTGGGAGAGAAATAGGTCATGGACAGTGACCCCAGGTATGTGTGTCTCTGCAGGGGGTTTGGAGCTTAGGAGGATTAGTGGCCAAGTGCTCAGGTACCACAAAGAGTTGTTCTGCTTCAGCAAGGATGCTCTTAACCTGCCTTTGCTTCCAACAGAGTGGATTCATCATAGCAGCTACAGGTTAAACAAAAAACATTTTATCTATCTGGTAGCTCTTAAGCATCCATGCAGTATTTATCGCTACCGATGCAAGACATATACCATGCCGTGATACAATAAACACATAATAATTAATGAATAGCTTTATAATGGGTGGCACGCACAGCCTTGTACCAATAAAAGCCATAAATACTGGTCAGTTTTTCCAAAAGGCACACTGATATAGGGGAAGGGGTGGAGCTTATAGGTGATGGGGAGGAGAAGGATGTTGCATGACTTTCTGGCAGACTGGAGGCAAGCAGTGGAAAGTAAGACAGTAAATGAGGATGGCTCCGCAGCTCTACATGACCATGTACAAAGAGCATTTCAGCTCTCCTGGCAAGGCGAAACGAGCAGAACTTCGACCGACATCCGCCCACCGCAGGAACAACCCCCAGCCCCGGCCGGTAAGATGCGAAACCTTCTGTATGGCATGCATGAAGTTTAGGATTTAAAGAAAAACTACATATTGGAAAGAATTGGAAATGGTTGTCTTTCACTCCATGTAATTAAGTAAATTATGAAAAATACAATGCATTTAAGGGCAGATAGGTCTCACTTATTGCTCTATATATTGTTCTTCATTTACCCATATACTAAAGTGTCCAATACTAATTGGCAGCTGATTGTTTACATTTCCCTCTGCATGCTGAAAGCTGTACCCCATGTATTATTCAGTACTTCCTCCATGAGTATTTATTCATCCAAGAGTAAACAGAGCTAAGAGGGGTGTATAATTACCCTCCTGTAAAAGAAAAAAACAAAACATAACAAAACAAAACATAATGCAGGAAAGAGTCGACATTAATACATGCACATTTTTACAGCTCACACAACACCCTCACCTTTTTCAGTGCATTATTATGACATTAATATAGAGAGAAAACCAGTTGAGAGAAATCCTAATGGTATTTTGAAAACCAGATTCTTTAGTATTTCAGTGCACAATACAGTGGTACTGAGAGAGAAATCTGAGAGGAATCATCTTCTACAAGGATTAATTATTTCGACTTAAATAAAAACAACGTACTTCTATAAAATTTGTTGTCTGTGAAATATAAGTCATATTAAATGTGACACTCTTAACATGTGAGATATTGCATGTAAAGAAGAAACTAGTGAACAGTGTCTCTAACAGAGCTCTTTTTTTCTCTTTGCTTTCTACGTCTTTATATATTTCTTCCTATACGTGTGTTTGTTTTTCTTGACCCCCAGGACTTTCTGTTTCCCCGGAGTCCTCCGTCAAACTACAGGTCAACCTACACACAACCACATCCCCCTGTGGACACTGGCCGCCCCCTCTTCCCCCCTGTCAGACATTTGTCATTTCACAGTCCTGTTACAACTTGTCCTGACAACTCTCTAAACCCGGCAAAGGCAGGCAAACCACAACACATGCCCCCCGTCAGCCCGTCCACAGTACAAGCTCTGCCCTCTTCTGACACACTGCAGAAACTACAGATGACGGAGTCTCCATCTGAAGCTGGTGTTCAGCTCCACGGTGCTCTGAAGAAGCCCCAGAGGTAGATATCAACCAGCTCAATCTATGGTCCAAAGGTAACTATAAATACACAATGATTTGGATTGATTTTCCTTGGCAGGGGGATGGATTATCAGAGGAATGTCCACCTGCTCTCAGCACAACAGCTTAGGTAAGTAAGTAACCTTTGACCTCTTCTTGTGGCCTTTGGATCCTAAAAAAAAAAACACTGACTAGAGGTTAAAGTGAGTGATTCTATAAAAGTCCTGTTATAACCATAAAAAGAAAATAAGATTAACACTGTCTTCAACAGGCAGCATGCAGGTGCTCAGCTTCGACCGAGACCCCAAACTAGCCACGCAGCTCCTCACCACTTTCAACGGACACTATACAAACGGTGTTGTTCTAACAGCACCCTGGATTATAGGTGCAAAAAATATGCCTCTATTTTGTCTTTTTGTGCCATCAATATTATCCACTGATGTCTAATTTATTTCCTCCTGTGGTTCCTCGACAGTGGTTGCTACAGCTGCTTCCATGTGGTGAAGCCCCACCAAGCCGGACACTACATCATCCACCCAGAGTTTGTGTCTGAGTGCCTTTATTAGGCCTTTTAGAGCATAATGGCATCCAAAGTGGGGATCTGGGACCTGCGGAGGTCCTTGAGGGGAACCTGCAGGGGATTTCCCCCAGCAAAATGAGGGATTGTTAACTTTTGTTTAATTCTCTGCTAATTAACCCACTGAGACGAGGTGTAAGAGTGAATTATGTAGGCTGCACCCTCACCGCTCTTATCTCCTCGCGTACATCATGGAAACCACAAATCAGCACTAAATCTGCAGCAAAGAAATTCCTGTAAGAGGCTTGTGATGATGAAATCAAATGAGGCATTTTCGGCCTTATTGTGTTGACTTTGACATTAAAATTTGAAACAACTAATCAAGCGATAATTTTCAACATGTCATGTGGAAGTTCTTTATTGCATGTTTGAGGGGTTAAAGCATAAATACAAACAACTCAGGGCTTTAAAGGTGTATTATAAACACTTACAAGTGACATTTTATAGCAGTGAAAATATGTCACCAGTGCTATAAAACAATTAAAAACCCTACAGTGTACATCACAGATGGATCGCAACTCAACACTGAAAAATAAGAACAATAATTTCATCTTTTGTGTGCACTGAATATGAGTTTGAATGTGTGTGCCAATTATTGTTTTAATATATTTCAGACCTGTTAGAGGCAGCTGGTGGTCAGTACGAGAGCAGTTAACATACCAGATATTTTGATAGTTCAGTCATATAGTTAAAATATTCATTCAGCATATACTTTAATGTTATTGTCATCCCAAAGGAGCTCTTTGCGCATTTATTTCACAAGGCATGTGCACTGGAGATGGATGAGCATATCTTCTGTACACCATCTAACTTGCAAAGGTGCATTTATTGGTGCAGCATTTCAGTGCTGGACCTTCATCAGGAGAATAATTTGCTGCAAAGCCAGAATCCATTTTCAAACGGGGAGAGGCTCTGACTCCGCCACCAATGAACAAACTCCACATACTTTATTGAGGTATGAAACACCAAAAGGACAAAAAAGAAATGAAAAAAGATTATTTTCATACTATATAGAACATGAGTCAACAATAATACCATGAAAAACACTGATATTGCCACACAATATGTATATAATGTGGGTTCGAAATACTTACGCATTCACAATATGAGCCCAACTTGAAAGTATTCTGAAAATCAACCTGCAATTTGAAGAAATACCCTAAAAACTATACAATACTACTGTATAACATAAACCATTCGTCATTGAGGAGAGAACAGCAGTTATAAAACATCAAAATAATGCAATTGCTACAAACCCAAAGCTGGTGTGTTCCATTCTTTAAAGATTAACATTTGCTCCCTTCCAGAGTACTTTTTTGCAGTTAAAGAAAAAATATATTTTTTGGCATTAATCATTATCTAGAAAGTGTATTTCAACCAGTGTAACTCTGACAGGCAATGCAACACTGTGCACACTGAGAAAACACAGAGCACGCCTTTCCTCAGCGCACAGGACTACATTTCCCATGATGCCTGTGGGCGTCGATGGGCCGGATACGCTGCAACACGCTTTGATTCCTCACTCGGGCTTTTTCTGTGAACTGTGGCAAACAAGTTGCAATTTGAGCTGCAGAAAGGAGCTGCCGCTGATCGGTAGGCAAAAACTATTTTTAAGCAGCGAGCTGGAGAGAAATAGGAATATGCGCAAAGAGATAATTATAGCGCACACGGACTGCGGGTTATTTTTCTTCCGTTAACTTTCTCGCACCACCCACCGAGGCGCAAAAACAACAACGGCTCTCTGCATGCATCTGATCGACGTATGTAGAAGTTGTGGTCACTTTCTGTTCTTTAGCACGGCTCCATGGTGACTGCTGTGGACACTTTAGAAATGCTTGTTTGTAGTTGGTGTAGTTTATGTAAAGAATAAAATGACAACGTTAAAGATCGTCAGTGGTAGAAGGTGTTTTTTACAAACTGTACTCAAGTAAAAGTACAAAAACGACACTGTAAAAGTACTCTGTTTAAGGTACTGCACTGAAAACGTTAGTTATTATCATAAAAATGTACTTAAGTGACAAGTCAAAGCTTCCAATGCATGAAAAGTCCCATATGACTGGTAAATAACATCTACTCTTATAATTTGTGCTAAAAGTGTAATATTTAATATATTGTCTATTACACAAGTCTATTATTATGAGTCATGCATTTATTTAAAAGCAGAATTTCACTGATGTAGCTCACTGAATTGATCATTTTGAATTATTTGGTATCTAATGTATATTTTAATTATTAATTATTCTGCTGTTTTTTTCCTACATGAATCGATTGATTGTAAATACTCTGAAGATCGTGAGAACTATCTTCATGACAATGATAAATGTACTTGTATTAAACTGGTAGTTTACTGTATAACAGAATAGTTTATATTTTTTTGTGTAGTAAGTAATTAGTATTTAAACCTTCTAGTTTAATTTAGTGGAGTAAAAAGCACAATATTTGCTTTTGAAATGTGGTGGACTAGAAGTACAAAGGTACAAAACACACACAAAAAGTGCCTCAAGTTTGAACTTTCTCCATGAGTAAATGTACTAAGTTACATTCCACCGCTGTAGATCATCACTTTATATAATTGCTGTCCCGTAACATTTTGCCATGTACACACACATTGGAGATTATTAGCCGAAGACATCACCGTAGTCAGCATTAGTGCAACAAGCCACACACACACACACACTCTTTTGGAGGAAGTGAGACTTTCTCAAACAGCTGTTATGACTCAGCACTTTTGTGTTTATTTTTCTGCATGTCAGGATAGATAGGGAATCGGCTGAAGTGGCAGATATGAACTCACCCTGATCATAGCACAAACAAAGAAATGCCTCCGTCTGAGAGTTTTCTCTTCTTTGTCCTTTAGTGAGAAAAAGGCCACTGTATGTGTTTTATAATCTTTTCTTTTTTTTCCCCTATGAAGTAATTGTGATTTGAGCTGAAACAGTTAGATAACATAATATAATAATTGATTCTATAATTAGATTATGTGTTTCGATTATATAATAGATAATTGATTTCTTGAGGGACAGAAAACTAATTGACACTTTTGACAATGGATTAAAATTGTTGGTCAGTACTTGTCACTGTTGCAGATTTTTGTTTTAAACCAAACTAAACAACAAAAAGCTTTGTAGGCAGCTGTCTTTCTACTTACAGCCGTGAATATTAATTAAGCGAAAATCTCTGTGTTTTATGGTAGTGCCTTGATCAGAACTTCCAGCACAAACATCAGATTTCCTGCAACAATGAACATTATCATTGATGTGATACATGTAAAATCATGGATTGCCAGGGGTTAAGTTCTTGCATCTGTCCTTGCACTTTTTTTTTTTCCAATTAAAAACAAATTGGAATAGGTCTAATTTACAGTAAATCATCATCTGACTTTCATGCTTAATTTTTCTACTTGAGTCCAGCGGCCTAAGCGGATCTCCAAGGAACCAACAGTTAGTTCTCTGTTAATTAATGATGGGCTTATGTTATCACTCCTGTTGTTGGGGGAAATCTATACTAAGGGTGGTTGAACACAGAATTAGTCAATTAGATTGCTAATTAATAGCCGGCATTTTTTATTATCGACCTCTGCTGCCGGGCCAGAGCATGAGGGTCAATTGCAGTAAGGACTAGTCAGCAAACAGGGAAGTTGGAGAGGACTTAACTCCTCTGGTTCTGCTGTGCATTCTAATCAGATCTATTCTGATTACCTAAAGCCACATTAACTAACATCAACCAGTTAATTACCCACAAGGGTTTCTTCTGTGTCCTTGCTGGGAGGTACAGTGAGTTCAATATGGATCTTTGTCTTTGCAGTTTTTGTCTGATTTGTTGCCACTGTTGTCAAACTGGAGTAGAATGATTGAGGTTGCTTCCAGTTGGTTAGTCAGGCTTGATAAAGCACAACGTTTAGTATTCTTTCCTTTCCTTCCTGGCATTGGCAGAGGTTTAAGGCCAAAATCCCCTTTTCTGCTTCTCTACTCCTTACATACCAATGAGTCTTCTTTTCAATTGAACTCATATGTTAGAATTACTGCTGGGAACATCCACTTTATCTTTTTATGGGTAATTGGCAGTAGATTTGTTTTGTTAAATCTCAAACACATCTTTAAAGTTTACATCCTGACAGCGTAATACCTTTAAGTGCTGTGAAATCACTTTGTTCAGCAATGCAGAGCATGTAAGACAATGCTAGAAATGTAATGGAGGCTTTGAGCTGACAGGGAAACAAGAAAGACTGAGAGCACATCTCGGGCGCTCATCTGGCTCGGGCGGCTTTCCTGCATGTCTGATAGTTAAATCAATATACTGACTATTCACAACTGGTATGCAAAAATAAGATGAATGGACTGTGCACAGGCTCATTAGACAATCACATTATTTTGAACACCCTTCTATAATCCTTATGAAAAATGCATATATTTTGTGGAAACCTCATCTCTGACTTTCCATTCTCATTCTAATGACAGGTTTGGCAAACAGATGTGACAAGAGGGCCCGAGTCCAACAAAAGAGTTTCCCTGCAAAACATTTTGATGATCTGTGCAACATCCACTCTCGTATTTGCCAACATCGCAAGCCATGTACCAAGTAGTACCAGGAGGAGCGGGGGGCACAATTACAGATGTTATCCCCAAGCAGAAACACAGCAAGGACACTCGACCCTTAGTTGGAGCTGGAGTAATCGGCCTGGTGCTGGTGATTGCAGCTGTGACTGCATGGTGTTATTACATAGCCTCTCTACGCAAAGCTGAGCTGCTTAAGACGCAGCTGCTGGATCTGAATAAAGATGGCTACATTATCCGCAACCAGGGAGGATCTATTGTTTTCAGAATGGATTTCAGGTTGGTATTCTTAGTTGGTTATTGAAATTTGATTTATGTGTTTGGATAAAAAAAAAAATCAGATACATCAGAAATAATGTAAAATGTACAATGTGCAAATACTTATTTGAAGTTTTTCTTAAACCTTGTTGTCATTTATTTGAAATGTATGATTTGTGTCAAGAGAGAATGCATGGAAATGTTATTATTTTTAAATCTTGGCAGATCGGGGACCCTTGATTTGGATTCCTGCTCCAAAGAAGGGGAGATTTTAAGCTGTGGACACACCACTGATAGAAAACTAAACTTCTTCATTGAGACAGTGCGACCCAAGGACACTGTGCAGTGCTACCGTGTGCGCTGGGAGGAACTGGTTCCTGACATTCCTGTTGAGCATGCCATGACTTACAAGTTTGCTCACTGGTATGGCGGTGCTGTGTCAGCAATTCAGCACTGGCCTATTTCTATTTCTGGCCAGCAGGCTCCCAAACCGTTTGTTACGAGTGATATCTACTCAAACCGCAATGAATTTGGTGGAATTTTGGAGAGTTACTGGCTTTCATCCAATGCTACTGCCATCAAGATCAATAATTCCGTGCCCTTCCACTTGGGCTGGAACGACACAGAGAAGACCATGTCCTTCCAGGCACGATACAGTGATAGTCCCTTCAAGCCAAACCCAGGAGAGGCACCATGTGCAGAACTTAGCTACAGAGTTTGTGTGGGCTTAGACGTGACATCCATACACAAGTACATGGTTCGTAGATACTTCAACAAACCAAACAAAGTGCCTGCCAAAGTTATGTTCCGTCATCCAATTTGGTCGACTTGGGCATTACATAAAACTGACATTGACCAAGAGAAGGTCTTGGCTTATGCCTCCAACATCCGCAAACATAATTTTAACTGTAGCCACCTGGAACTAGACGACAGATACACCAGCCGCTACGGGGAATTTGAGTTTGACAGCATAAAATTCCCAAATGCGTCGGCCATGTTCCAAAAGCTCAAATCAGATGGATTTCTGGTGTCTCTCTGGATTCATCCTTTTGTTAACTATGATTCAGAAAACTTCCATACCTGTGTACAGAGGGGTTTATTCGTCCGAGAGCCCACAGGTCGACTGCCGGCCTTGGTACGTTGGTGGAATGGCATCGGTGGCATTTTGGACTTCACAAACCCAGAAGCCCGGGACTGGTTTTCCTCTCAGCTACGTTCACTGCGCTCCAGATATGGGGTGTCCTCTTTTAAATTTGATGCAGGGGAAACCAATTACTTACCTTGGAAATTTAGTACTCGGACTCCCATTCGGGACCCAAGTTTTTTCACAAGACGTTACACGGAGATGGCTATTCCCTACAATGATCGAGCTGAGCTGCGCAGTGGTTATCAGTCTCAGAACATATCCTGCTTCTTCAGACCAATTGACAGAGACTCTGTGTGGGGCTATGAGTTGGGTCTCAAATCTCTAATTCCCACAGTGCTCACCATCAGCATTCTGGGCTACCAGTTCATTCTACCAGACATGATCGGAGGGAATGCCTATTTGAACCGCACTGATGGAAACCGTGTATTACCTGATCGAGAACTCTATATCCGCTGGTTGGAGCTGTCAGCCTTCATGCCTTCCATGCAGTTTTCTATTCCACCATGGGAATACGACAACGAGGTTGTTGAAATTGCTCGGAAATACACAGCCCTCCACGAAAGTATTGTGGCGCCACGGGTCCTAGAGCTGGCTGGCGAGGTGCTGGACACCGGAGACCCAATCATACGTCCCCTGTGGTGGATTGCCACAGGTGATGAGACGGCCTATAAAATCGACTCCCAGTTCCTGATTGGGGATGACCTCATGGTAGCCCCAGTTTTAGAGCCTGGAAAGCAAGAGCGTGACATCTACCTCCCTGCTGGCCGATGGAGGAGCTACAAGGGGGAGAGATTTGATATCAAGGAGCCACTGCATCTCACAGACTATCCTGTGGACTTGGATGAAATAGCCTACTTTGTTTGGGTGTAGCAAGAAGGAAATGACAGAACTGATCAGCCTATGCTCAGATTTGCTTGTGAAGCAAATGTCACAAGTTTATCTTTTGTGGTTGATGGGAGAGACGTTGTAATGAAAAGGTTCATATTGCAACAGCTTTGCTGCAACAAAATATATAATTTTTTAAACTACATTTAAATTTTAACACCACATTACTTAACAAATATGGATCTGTGTTACTCAAAAACGCTCAAAACCTCGTCTTAATTTTTCATTTCATTTTTCAATTTCATTTACACAAATGAATGTAACATCGTCTTTGGCATTTTGCGCTTTAATAAAAGATATCTAAGGCTCCTTTAAAATAAGGCTGCTTAATAAGCTACTTGCTATATCAGTAAGGCTGAGTGTGTCCTAACGGTATGTTTTAAAGCTAATCATTGAAGCATTTTTTATTTGTTAAAATTTTAAAATAATTGTATGTGTCAGAAATTACTCAGTATTGCTTTAAAAGTCGTACGAGTTGTGCATTTGACACATTTGTTAAAAAGGGAATATACAAACTGTGAATTGAATGAGGCATAATTGCCACTTTATGCCATAAAGCTGTTGTATCTTTGAGTCTCACAGCACTTTGAAATTCAGCTTAAGCCAAACAGACTGTCGTGGGAGGACAAGTGAGGGCATGTCATTCTTGTCATTTAGCAGATTGTACGCTACATAATAACTGGAGAAATCCTACTTTCCTGTGACATTAATGACTTTTCAGAAAGTTTTTATGCTTCACTTATCAGGATGACTGCTTGAGGTTTAATCATTACAAACTGCACATGCACTCGTTCGTGTAACACGGTGTCATGTAACTACTCTTTGCCCAAAACAAGGTGCCTTTTATTAGGCTCTAAATATTTTATGCCCTTCCTCAGGTAACTGTTTTCTCAGGCTGGAGTGTGTTTGAAGTGTCTGGTAGCTATTTTAAGGCGCTTTGCTGATTCTGAATGTAGAATAACAACAAATACTACAATGTCTAACACAGTGATTACCACATCCAAAATAATGAGAATTTCTGTAGTATTTAAAAAAAAAAAAAAAGAAGTTAATTTCAGAAACATGATACCATAAGTGATAAGTGCTACTTTATGTTTGTCGTGTGCATTGTCAACTTACCATCATGTACTTGTCCCTTTAAAAGGTACGGCTTTTTGTTAATGTGAATATTTTAACTGCAGTGACGTCTCTAAGAGCCATTTGCTAATAACAACTGCCACGTATTGTGTTTGATGTATTTATGCTTTTTTTTTTTATTATTATTATTATTGTTAGTGAATATTATCGAAGCGTTTTGGCGAGATGACTCTACGGGGTCAGTGGGTTGTACCGCAAATGCTGCAGGACACGATATCCTGTGTTCTTCAGACATGCTATTTTCCTTGAAATCTCCACTATGTTTTTTTTTTCTTTTTCTTCACAGTTCTACATCAAAGTATATCACATAAAATCATGTATCTTATTATCCAGAGATGAAACAGTTATTGATCTTTTCATAGGGGTAGAGCAGCAAGCATCTTCCACTGACTGGCACCCCACAAAGTATATCCAAGAAGCCAAGAATAATATTAGTATCATGGGTCAACTTCATTTGTGTTACAAGTTTTAGAGCAGATTTTTACAAAATATTTTTGACAAGATTAAAAAGATTCTGAATCTTTCATAAAAATGAATAAATGCATAAATTATTAGGTTTAATGGTGTCCGTCTTTGACCTTCGTGGTTCTCGTGATAGCTCTTCTACAAACTGATGGGTTTTGAAGCTGCACTGACAAAGATTGTGTGTCTTTTGAAATGAGGCTAAAACAATGTCCATGTGCTTGTTGTGCAATTGCGCCCATTTACAATATATTTTCTGTTTCCTGCTTATGATCCATCATTCAGCCGCATGCTGACTTGTGCCTTGACATGGGGCTTCTCTGTTGACCTCAGTGTGTTTTGTTTGGGCCTTTTGACACAGTTGCATCACAGCTACACTATTTATAGCAGTCCTCACTTAGCATCTGGGCCAGGCCAATCTCTGAGGCTATTTCTGTCTCAGACGGTCTTGCTTTATGACAAGACTGAGAGGCTGTATCTTGGACTAAAGGCTTTTTTTTTTTTGCTTCTGGCTTTTTTGACCCAGTGTGTGCAGTTTGTTGTTGTAACTGATAATTGGCATCATTTGCATGTGACTAAGAGACTTCATTAATTTCAAAGTGAATATTTGATGTCACTTTGTATGAATGTATTAAAAGAAATCAAGCTTGACTTTTGTTCGCTTGCGAGCATTTTTGTGATGCTTAATTTGCATGGATCAAACAATAATCTTTGTCTGAAAGTAAACATTTAATTGCTACATTTGCCACCTTGACTAACATTGCCAAACAACTGGTGTTAAATCCTCTAAGAATGCTAAAAGTGTGACTGTATGTCAGAATATGCGTTTGACACGCACTAAAAAATAAAGTAAAACAACTAAATACAAGAATACAAGATAAATGGGTGGGAAATTTAGGTCAGTAAGCTGATCATGCAATCAGTGGGCCAGTAACAACCTATAACCTTTTATGAGTCGGCAATATATGAAAACTAATGTGCCAATCAGTTCAGTATCGAAAGAGACACCCTTGAGGGACTTCTTCAACTTTTTGATGCCTGGCTCATCATGGGGCAATAATGACAAGGTGATGAAACAATTGTGCAGGTTATTTGGAGGCTGTGTTCGGATCAATAAATCATCTGGTGGTTCATGGTGTGAGGCCAGAGAGCAAGTGATATAAAAGTGTATGACTAGACATCAAGAATAAGAAAGATAAACTTGCTACAGTTAGAGATAGTAGCAAGAATATTTATTACAATTACAGCATTAAACATGGTTGCTCTTTCTGAGTTCAAACACTCTGGCATCTCCATCCCTCGTAGCCATAGTCGATCTTTCATATGTTTGGGGAATTTATTCCATTTCACAACAGCGGGATATGCTTCTGAACTACTTCACTTTATTTGCCAATGTCTCATCTGTCTTCAAAATTGATCTGGACTTGCAGCCTGTGCGGGGAGGACATACATTCATTGATTAGCTGTCTGTGTGTTGCTTGGATCAATATTATTTGTCGGTGTGCTTTCTGCAATCATATTGTTTGGTTCTGCCCATCTTTTCATAGACTGAACAAATAATTTATGTAAGATCTGTAGGAGCTTTAGTGTATGATCTGGGAGATTTCTGGGAGAAGGACTGAAAAAGAGAGAGAAGGATGATTACATGTCAAAACAACAGTGGCTTGATAAACTATATACTCCAGCATACGGAAGCATACCTTTTACTATTTCCTCAACAATATTAATTTGTTCTGTTAAATAAAAGAACAATCTACTTATTTACCTGCTGTTTATAGCAACAGGACTAGTGTTTCACTTACGTAAAAGGTCAGAGCATGAAAAAATAAAATAAATCACAGGTTCATACTTCAAACAGCTGATATTCAAATCTTCCAAGATATTAAAAATTAAACAATGACGTGCGAAATCTGTGGTTTGTTCAGGCCATGTGGTGCTGCAGCCGCCCAGAAGGGTGCAGTGTAGCTTCATTGATGAGTTCTTTTGCTGACATGTCAGTGGACCACGGTCCAGATGTTGCACACACACACACACACACACACAACAAGCAGGACACAAAATTGGCAGAGCGCTTCCCCCCCCTTCCTTCTCCACCTGTGAGCCCACCTGTGTGTCCATCTGCAGAGGAGAGACACCAGTTGTTCTGATTAGGAGCCAGTGTGTCTCAAGTACCTTCCTATATCCTCAATGAGAAACTTCAGTGAGGCTGACTGCTGTCTGTCCCACACAGTAAGACGGACACACACACACACACACATATATATATATTTATTTATATAGAGAGTGGTGCTCCGAACAACAAACTCAGAAAAGAAAAGAAATAATTATTGAAAGATGGTTAAAAAAAAACAAAAAAACAGATGACTTACTTTGGTTAATATCCCCAGCTGTTAGGAAAATCTGGCGACACTGACATTATGTCAAAAATATGTAAAATCCAAACAGAGCAAATGGCCATTCTGTTTTCTGCAATGTGTATTTTTGTTGTAATGTTTTTTTTTTTTTCTTGTGCAGCAAAATTCAGTTAGACTTGTACTAACAATTGCCCCAAATAAGCAAATTAATTAAACATATATACATAATTTACGGAAAAAGCTGATTTCTGAACAAGATCCTCTGCTCGCTGAAACAAATGTAGACGAACGTACTTTATTAGAATTGCTAGATCACCCATAGAAGCCGAACTGAAGGGGTGACAAACAATGACGAATAAGCTTCACTTTTATTAAAAAAAAAAAAAAAAAAAAAAGCTTTCTGGCTCCTTGGAGCTAAATGTGGAATGAGCATTTATTGTAGATGACCACAGGGGAAATAAAACCTCATGGCCATCTCTTGTGTGAAGTGAGAATCTTTGTCCTTAACCCAAGATTTTCACTCCGTAACTAGAATGACCTCGCATCTGGTGTTGCCACGGCTTGTCTGACAGGAATATGTCTGTCCTCGCTAGGTAACAAATGAACCCAACACCCCAGAGAATGATCCCGCATCTGTTTATCTTTTTCGCCTGTCTGTTCGGTGCGCTGCATCAGGCTGACACTCTTCTGCAGCCTTTGTGGATTTCAGAGCAGGCCATTTGTTAAAGTTGGGACTGGGTTGGATAGTATAGTACAGTGTGTATCTGTCTTAATAACTTTAATAAATTAATATCCTTGGTAGTACACTGTTCTTCCTTTTTCTTCAGCTTTCTTTTGTGTTTTTGCATTTAGTATTTTTCTTATGTATGAGCTCATGCTGAACCAATAAGAACTATTCGATAAGTAGCTGTTAAAATATATATTTTTAAAGCAAAATACTCTCATGTTACAGTGACTAAAAGTGAATGTAATGTGGTTTCAGATTGTTGTTTGTACAAAACATGCGATAGGGTGGCATCACCTCGAGCTCCAGGGAATTGTTATGGGGTTTTTCACTACTTTCTGACAATTTGTAGACTAAATGAATAATTAAATAATCAAGAAACTAAGCTGCAAATGATTTTATGATGAAAATAATTGTTAGCTGTCGCCCCAGTGTTGGCTGACTTTGCAGCTGCAATTTGTTGTTGGAAAGTGTCTTGAATCCCGAGTCTGTAATGAATCATAATGTAGCATAGAGTAGTGAAAAGTTAGAAAATGGTGACAGAAACGCAGGCGCGCTTAGATAGTTAAATTAAGGACTTGGGTGAGGACAACAGGCAGGGCACTTCCTCTGTGCCTCGGTGGGGGTAAGAGGTTGAACGAAATGTCAGGCGCTGAAGAACAGATGCATAATTGAAACATTGCGTTGCCGCTGCAGCCGTGCACAAGGTTGTTTGATTGATACTGTTTTAGAACACTCCTGTCCCCTCATGCTCATGGGGTTTACCTGGGGAGAAACCAGGGGAGTGGGAAAGGTGCTTAGGTGGCTCATCTGGGTTTTGGAGGAAAATTGGTGCCATCCATCAAACACTGCATTTAACAAACGCTAACGCAGGCCGGGCCAACAAAGGATTCGTATATAAGGCAGCGAACTGGGAAACATGTGAGGTGCAGGGACTGCTGAGGGTCTATCAATCAGCCAGTCAGCTCCTTTATTTAACAAGCGAGGGCCACAGACCCCGAGGGCCACACTCCATATTCTGGCTGGTTGGGCATGCAGTCTTCCCCTGTAAAAGGAAGGAAAAAAAGGGGAAGAGCGGGATGACGGCAGGAAGGAAAAGAGGGGCATGGAGGGATTGGGGTTTGGGGGGGCGGTGATGGAGGTGCAGAAGGGTTTGGCCCGTGTCCCCTGGCGTGCCGGTGCGCTTCATCTTCTCAGTGCAAGGGCCTGGAACTGCTGCTTGATGGGATTTTCAGCCCTGTGGCCTCCGCTGTCCCAGCATCCATCTGGAGGGCTGCCGTGTGCACAGCGGAGAGCCAGCCACTCAGCGACACAGCCATAAAGAACAACCCGTAGGCCAGCCAATGCCACTGATCTGAGGCTCGCAGCTCTGTTCAGTGGACAGGCCAACACTCAGTGGCACACATTCCTGTCAGGGACACAGGCTGATCCCTAAGCTACTGTGTGCTCAGTGTAACAGAAGACACGCTCTGAGAGACAGCCCACATCCAACCACTGACTCCTTCAAAGCTTAGAAAATTGGAATGGAACAAGGACTTCACTATTCAGCATCCTTAATGGCGTGGACAGGACTATCTCCCCTCTCTCTCATTTTATCTCTCTCACTGAAATAGCATATATACACTTATCCTATGCTTTTGCAATGTGAGGTTCTTGACTTTCTTTATAAACGTACAGTGCATTTCAGTTTCTGATTTAGCAACAGCACAGAAATTGTATTGGCACCTTGCAGATTATGCAAATGTATACACAGTGGTCACACAGATTTCTGAAAGGTTGGCCGTAATAAAACCTTGCCTGAGAACAATGCTTCTTTTGCATGTTCAATAAGGCGCTGAATCCATTTCTATAGAATAGTTGAGTTTAATACTACACCGCACAGCATCCAGAACAATACACGGTGATACATAATTGAAAATCAAGACCAAATATGCAAAGACAATCATTACTGCCTCTCATTATTGGATCCAATTTATGTATGCCCCAGGGAACGAAGTAGCAAATAATGGATTGGTGTTGTGGAGAGCCGAGTTACTGTACGCACCATATTGGGGTTGAACATGCACGAGATTCCGACCTGATACAACTGAAACTAGTGTGGAAAGTTTGGATTGAAAATGTTTTTGTTTCTCCTCAGGGCTACACAGCATCATTAGCATATTTTTTCCCTCCTGACGACTGTAAATTCAGTGAATGTAGCCCTGTGGTGGGTAAGGTGGGCAGACGGCAGACTGTATAAATAAACAGAGTCTGTCTGAGGGCAGCACTGTGGCCCCCACCTGCCCACCATCAATCAATATTACAGCGGCCACTGGCAGCCCAATCGCCCTTTTATAGGCCTGTGAAATGATCAAACATCTGCTCATAACCATGCTTCATATATAGATGGATCACACATACAATATCAAATCCTACAACGAGATGTAACAATGCCAATACAGTACATTTATCCAAAATGTATGTACAGTGAGGTGTGCGTATAGCTTTTAGACAGAACTCATCAATAACCAAATTAGTGAGCTTTTCAAGGCTCCCCAAATAGTGACGATCAATAAAGTCTTCTTTTTTTATGTGCCCAAGCGAAAGCGCAGCTCAGTGTCAACTCTTTCTTTGTTTACTGTTTAAAAGTCGGCCATGTTGATGGAAGCTCAGTGAACATGATAAAAGTTGAGGCCAGTAACTAGTTTGGCAGCTGTAGTAGACAAAGGTTGCCGAGGCCTGGTCCATGGAGAGGAGGAATGAATCCAAGTGGTCCAAGGTTAATGGTGGCTTGGAACAAAATGGATTCAGTGCCAGGGGCGTGCTGACAGGTGATTTGACATGAATGAAGGTGGGCCATCAATCTCCCGTTGGCCCCTCTGACCCTCCCCCGCCCTGCCATAGCAGCTAGGGGGCGCCAGGTGTCATGGTGCCCTGACCTGTACAGGCCTCCAGATAGCCCACCTGCTGTCTGCCTAAAGCTCCCCCTACGGCTAGAAGAGACTCCCATCACTTCACGCTTGGCTGGCATAATGAAACTGTGATTGGAAGATAGTGAACTGTGACAGGCAGTAGTAGACTCAAAGTCTTCTAGCCAAATTCAAACCTCTCACTCCAGGTTTCCTTTTACAGCCCTCTCTTCTCTTGAATAGGTCTGACAATTTAATGGTGCAAAAATGATAATCTGCCAGCCTATCTTTAATATGCTTTCATACGCCGCGTGGCTATTGTCTCGTGTACTGTAGAATAAAAGGATTTAGTAACTCGCTCAACCCGAGGAGAAATACAGGTAAAGTACGCTGAGGCAAAAACTACTTTGTGTAGTATGATTGTCATTAAATGCATGTGTGTACGCGCTCCCAACCCCCACCCCCCCAACACCCCCATTGCAAAGTCCACCCCAGGCAGGTTCGGCTTCACGTTTAAACCTGACATAAATTCCCTGTCACAAATCCCAGGGGCAGCCAGGCTTGTAGGCACAAAAGCAAATATTTCCGTTCCTGATCATGGCCAATCCCTTTTAACATCCACACCCACAGACCACCCTCCTCCCCACCCTCCTCTGAACCTACCCTAGCACCGCAAGCCAGCCATTTGTCACAAAGTAATTATAGAATTATCGATTGGCAAGCAATTAACACCTTTCTTCTCTTTTTCCACCCTCCTCCGGTCCCCCCCCCACCCACCCACCCCAACCTCATCCACCCCATCCTTTAATTTGAACTCGTAGAGAAAAAAGAATAAGAAGTGGGGGAAAAAAGCCGTAGGAGCAACACATTTAATCCTGCTGGCATTTCCTAGTTCTCCTCAAATTAATAGGGTGACGGGGACAAAACAGCTTTTCTCTTTCTTCCTCCGTTTCCTGTGTTATTTTCTCTCCTTGTCTTGCCGGCTGATCTATCTTTAACAGAGAGGGAGCTGCTTAGAGTACAGCCAAACACTTTATTCAAGCTGGGATGAATGAATATGCCATTAAACCTTATTTCAGAAAGAGCACTACATGCTTCATAACAACCACACGGCTCCTGATATGATAGCAATGTCACTGCTGCCGAACTCTCACAGGGAAAAATACCTCGCCAGTAGTGACTGCTCTTTTCATTTTTGGCAGCCTTTAAATTTACCTCTTTTCTGTGCCCTGTTTTCCAGCTGCCACTGGTAGTAGTGGTCCAGATGGACGTACAGGGGAACAGTGTTAGAACCTCCGGCTGGCAGGTGTCGGAGTCAGGATGGATGTCATGGAACATCACCTTAGTAACATATGGATGGGGACAGAAGAGTTGATTCCCCTTCTGGCAAGTTCGATCTTCTCTTTCTGTTTACCAGCCTCTTTCTCCACTGCGTGTCTCTCTCTCCCCTAGCTTTCACATCACACTGGACAAGTCCACTAAAAGAGTTTTATAGCTTATGTCTCCTTACTCGCTCACATACGAAGAGATTTTGTTGCATCCGAAATGGAGCATAATCTGTATTCTTAAACTGTGGACCCAAAGTGGGTCACAGCTCTACTTTTAGGGTGTTCCCACAAAGTAAAAGTACCAATAAATATTAATGAGTCTGTATCGTAGGATGAGAGACTAAATTTCTAATTTGGGGTTCTGCACTGAAAAAAGAACCCCTGAGTTACACCATTTAATTTCCCTCCGCTTTCCCCGAGTCGTGGGCGGGGTTGGGGGTTGGTGGATGGGGAGGAGGGGGGGTGTAAAGCTACTTCAAAATTGCAATTCGTGTCATCACACCAGCGTGTTATTTTTTTCCTGTGGGAAGCAGATGAGATAGGGCTGCCGTTCTCATCACAGCAGCGATGACAGAATTAGTCATATTGATCAAAAAATGATAACAAAGCTAATTTTCTCACTGAAAATACAGGGAGGTAAACGGAATAGGAGCTAATTTAGGTACGATCAGAGCGATGCATTTCTCACTTCACAGCTATACGGACTACGTTGGGTGATTCGCTGTGGCTGCAGAAAAACATTTAACGTTTCAATAGTCTGGCATTTGGCACTTTTATGCGCATTAAGAAAGTAAACATTAGAAAATACTGGCAACTGTAGCACACTTGATTTTACACAACACTCTCTTCCTCCCTCAAAATACC